TCTCATCTTTTTAAGTGGGAGAACTTGCACAATTGGTGGCTGACTAAATACTTTTTTGCCCCAATGTATATCCTTGTGCAATGTAAAAATTGAATTGGGCCCAAAGAATTCTCTTCTAAATTCAAAACCCCATTTTACACAGTAATTCTACTAAACGTTTGCACATCCATGCAAGAACAGCACAGCTGATCCTTTTTATTTAACATGCAATCCTATGGAACATAGGATTATCCCAGTTGTGCAACTGTCCTGGTGTAACCGTATTTATTTGGAAGTAATGTGTGAACATGTTTTATGAAATGATACTATTACTTCCCATATTTTCTTTATTTTTAACAATCCTATAAATGAACCTAAACTAAATAATGCACACACAATCAGACAGATGTGAGATCAACACATGCGAGATCAGAGGCAGCAATTTCATTTACAAAAGAAGTTCGTAAGAAACTGAGAATTCCATGTACAGTAGCTTTAGATTCCATTTTTTTTCTTTCTTACCAAAATAAACATTTGTTTCCATTTAAAACCTGCCTCTGTTTCAACAAGCACAAACATTAGTAGCACAGCTATTGAACTGAAACACATATTCAAATATCAAACCCAATCAATTCTCAAAGGAGTCTGAGCTTGCTGGAAATGCTGACAAAAGTAACTGGTTATTTCCTTAGATAGCAAGGGATACATAGCTGGAGTTTCTGAGTGCTAAACTGACTACTGTAGAAGATTCAGTAAAAAGAGTATGAAAAGCACCTTATGATATACACAACTATGGAAATAAAAATGGCAAAGATTTCAAGGTTATAATAACACATCATGCAGATTGAAAGAAATATTCATTACAAACACAGGAAATGAGCACACTTGGAGATGAAATGCTCACCTTCACCCTCTATGAATAGGTAGGCAGCACCACATTGAGTGTATAGGAAAACAAAAACAGGAAGGGAATTGAGTAGATGGTGGAACACATGGAATCATACACAAGGGGGTTCTTTTTTACAACTCTCCATCAGCCTGCCACCTACCAATGGATCATTATGATTTCTTTCCAGCAAAAAGCAGAGGAGTGAAAATAACAGTAGTAGAATGTTCCCAGGTACTGTATACATCAAACAACTCAGCATGGTGTTCTAATCTTTATTGTAACGAAATATGGCTCTTCATGTTGGATCTGGTTTGTGATTAGAGCTTTTCAGCTTTTAAAGTTGGAGAGTTACAAATCTGTTAGGGATCAGGGCATTTAGACATTTTCTGATTTCAACCACGTCATGTATTATCCATTCTTTCATCCAAGAAGCCTCAAGGTGGTATATACAGAGCTTAAATTGTCTTGTATCCAAAAGATACTGACATGTGCAACATTATCTTAATCTTATATATCTTTGCTACATTCCAACTTTTATCTGAGTCACATACCACAACTTTCTTAGTTTTCTTTTTCCCCTCAACCATTCTCTCTCCCTTTTTCATCCACCTGAGATTTTATCTTCCTTCATTCTCTCTATATGATCACACCATCTCAAAGATTTTTTTTTGTACTGGTTGCTGATATTTGTATTCAATCGACATTCATTTGGCACTCATTCATTCTTGACCCCATCTCCTCTTGTCACACACACTTCTTAAATAACCCATTCCCACTCCATAAAACCTGCTTTTATGCTTTCCACTCGCATTTTCATATAACACAGTGGGCAGAAGCACACTATTACACACAGCCAGTTTTGCTATTTTTGTATCCTGAGTGCAGCAGTATACTGCATTTACAGTACCTCACAGTTGGCGGGAAGTAGGTCATATTATGTTACCTTCCAAAATTACTAAATTAAATACTAGCTTGGCCTGAACAGTGGCAGCATGATTTGGCAAAACCAAGCTTTGGTTGCACTTGTGGCATACTGGCCAAGATGTACCAAAACTGATCATTATTATTGTCATTATTAATAAGGACTGATACATGTAGCATCAGTACAACTAAGGTTTATAACCTAGTCTATTCTTTCTCTATCTTACTAAAGATGTCCTATCTGGATCACATAACAAGGAATATTTTTATGAAACTCTTACCCCAAGAAAATTACTTGAGGTTGAGACCACTGCTCAGTGGGTAGATATATGTTTTGCAAGTTGGCTAATTGTAGTTTCCAATTAAAATATTAAGTTACAGCTAATGGCAAAACTGCAGAGAGTTAAGGCTAGCTGGACAAAGAGTATGACCTGATCTAAGGCAGCTTTCTATGTTCTTGTTCACAAAACTGATTTTTCTGCAGTTATATATTGTTCTTCATTAAACAAAATTATGCTGCTGTCTATAAACTTAAAATAAATTTTAAGAAATAAAGAAAATCTGAGACCCAGTACAAATACATTATGCAGCAACCATAATGAAAAGTATCAGAGGAATCCAAAGGCTGAATAAAAGGTGCATCTTAGCAATTGGCAAACCTAAAAGGTTAAATGTGACTGATACACCACCCATTGGGAGAGAATTCCATAAAATGGGTTCCACGATCAAGAAAGGCCTGAGTCAGATAACTGCCTCCCAGTTACCAACTATCAACAGCACTCTAAGCATTCAGTGACTGCAAAACTATGCTGATATGCAGTGGGAGAGATATTCTAATATACACTTAGACTGAAAAAAAAAAGCAGTTTACCTAGTGGACCACATGGAGCAATTTATTTAGCATAAAAGAGTATTAGATCTAGACTAAGGAGGTCCGCTTTTAAGATTCTGTGGACAACAATGTGATATCTAAGAGCATCCACAAATTATTGGGAGAAAACGTGACTTTCCTTTCTGAAAGTCAGGAATCTTATGGATCTTTTGGTGCAGAAGAATCTGAGAACAAACTGTTAGGCTTTGCTCATCATGATTTAGATGAACTGTCTCAATGGGCAGGACCACTGTGTTTTATACGACTGTGCAATGTGTTCATTAATTAAATGGTAGATGACTAGCAAAAAGATTCCATAAAGGGAAGTAAAGGGAAGAGGGACAAAGTTGTGAAATATGGACAATTTCCTTCATACTCACCCCTGTTCTGGCTTTCCACTATGCATACTTATGATGTTAAGAATAGGCGACCTACCCGACACTGCAGTTCATACTCTCGAATGATGGCAGCAAAATGTTCTTCTTGATCAAACAGCTCTGTGCTGAATGGATCTAGCAGTCCCAGCTAAAGCACATGAGAATTTAAAAAAAATAAATAAATTGGTAGATTGTTCCAGAAATGGAAAGGAAGTATTTTAGGCTAGCCCTAAAAACACATCAGGGAGTTACATTTATTTTATTTTTAAATTATTACTTTTTTTTTTAATCTATTCAATTGTGTCCAATTCTCAGAGACTGCCTGGACAAGTCCCTGTAGTTTTCTTGGCAAGGTTTTTTAGAAGTGGTTTGTCATTGTCTCCTTCCTACAGCCAAGAGAGAGTGACTGGCCCAGGGTCACCCAGCTGGCTTTGTGGCTAGGCGGGACTAGTACTCATGGTCTCCTGGTTTCTAGCCTGATGCCTTAACCACTACACCAAACTGGCTCTCTATTACATTTTTAACACTGCCCAAGTCTACAAAACAACTTTGGGCAGTGTACAGTAAAATCAAACCTAATGTAGAATTAAAAACCCAAACGTCTGGAAGAAAAACAACCATTCAAAAACTATTTAAAAACCTGCCACTTACTCTAACCTAAGGACTGTGTGAAGAGCCATCTGAACATGGCTCTTATCTGAACTTGTTAATTTTTTTATTAAGAAAACTACTTCATATTGTCAAGTGCTTGGGGATTGTTAAAAGCAATAATACTAAATACTTTTATAAACAAATAAATAAACAATAAACCAAAGTTACAGCATTTTGAGCTGTCATCAGAAGCAGGTCAAAATTCTACACAAATATTTATGTCAGAGGGGCTTTTTAAATAATGTTCTTTTTATTGTTTTTGCAGACATTTTACCAATGCTTACATGAAAAGTAAGTAATTGCTTACTGTAAATAAACATGTAACAATATTCAGAATAAACTATTTAAAAGAAATTATTAAAAAAAATTTTTAAGAGAGCCGAAATCTTTTTTTAATGCAGCTTTTCACTGCAAAAAGGACTGAAAAGAAAGGAAATTCTTCACCATGACAAACAAAAAGAGTGAACTTTTATGTAGCAGATACTATAGCCACATGCTTTATTTTTATAAACCACGAGTGCAAGACTACACATACAAGACTCTAACTCGCTTGATTTTCACACTAGTCAAGTGGGCTTAGATTACAGAAAGAAAAAAAATCCCTTTTCACCAATAAGAAATTACCTTGTCTTTCAACATGAAATTAAGATCTCTCTGAAGTTTCAAAACTTGATTTTCAGATTCAGTCAGCTTTTGAACCACCTCAGCAACTTCATTCTGCAGGCGACTGTTTTCCTTTAAAAATACATGCGCACAGAAGAAAATGATGGAAAGATGAAATCTATGATGTCAGGATAACCTTTGCAATTCTTCAGCAAGAAAGCAGCAGCAAACTAAATATAAAAAAGTCTGCATTTATAACCAATGTTGTCAAAAGCTGAACTTTGATTAGTGCTCAGTGCTGCTTACCGTACCAGTTTACAAAGCAGAAAAAGTGTTGCATGTTTGAATGCTCTTTTGTGCAACAATGACCCACCATATCTGAATGGAACCAAGAAAAAAACAAGGCTACAATCTGTGTGCTTGACCAGCTCCTTTTGCACAATTTACAGTGAGAAACTGAGCAAATGAATAGGTTTCTCCCTCACCTCTACACTCAGCACTGACACAGTCCCAAGAAGACCTTCCAAGATTGTGCGTATGTTGCAATACTGCAGCCTGATTGGGTGTGGAATTCCACTCCTGAAGTACCCCAGCTTTCAGTCAATCAGAAACAGAGCAACATTTGTCTCATAGCTGTGAACCTACATATATAACCGTGGCTGGTGAAATTTCAGAAGTCACAAGTTGAAGCTGCATTGTGCAGGGAAAGAGTTATAGTTTAGTCTTATATAACTCATCTTTTCGCATGATGAACACTGGGCCTAGTTGTACATTTTGAAAGAAAATGGACATAGACTCAAATTATTTAATTTTTAAGCTGTGGAATTCAGCCTTCCTGGATGTCATATTTTACATTTTAAGATCAAGAATCTGCACAGTCTTACTACTAAGGCTTAGCTGTTCTGAGCATAAGACAAATAGCCCAAACCCTTACCTTGATCATCAAGGTCAGCTTCTTCCGCAAGCTAGAATCCTCCTCTTTAAAGTGCCTGAGATCTGCTTCTAACTTGGTTCTCTGATGGTACACTTGCTGCATGAGCAATTCCCTTTCCACCTTGACTTCAGACTTGACTGCCATTAGTTTCTCTTTGAAATCTTGCTCAAGAGCTCTGTAATGCAGGAGCATCATGGCTGAGATTTGCAAACATGTTTATTATCTCAGATCTAAGTACTAAATTGAAAAACATTTTTCAAAAAATATTGCACTGTGAATTAATACAGATTATTTTTTATTTATCCTCCATTGCCATCATAGGTCAGAAACAGTTCAAGTGAAGAAATGGCTATAGAAATCAGAGTCCGGTTTTTTTTAGAAATTACAATACTTTTTAAATTATTGGAACAAGAACTTGGATTTTGGGATGATTAGACTAAATTTTGTTGATATAATTGATTTATTTTGCCTTTTTATCATTATGTGGTTTTTCCTCCTGTAAGTTTTATGGATTAGAAGTCTTATAAGATATTTTAAATTGCATATGTATTTATTCTTTGTCATATTATATAAATAATAAAGTACTTTATGAAATAATTTAAACAGGAATAAAATATAATTCAGTTCAAATTAAATAACACTAAATGAATATTAGAGTTCAGAGGAAAGAGTATGTGTTACTATCCATTAAGACACCATAAGTACTATTTTCAGAAAGGGGATGGGTATGGAAGAAAGACTGCTTTGGCAGAAGTGCAACCAGACTTGCTGTTCTTTGGAGAATCACACAACCATCAGTAACTAATTTTTTATCATGCCTGGCTATTATAAGAACCCTTAGTATTTTTATTTGGTATGTTTATATAGTACAATAGCTACTTTTCCCCTGACAATAACCACCTGAGTTTACTTTCATTGTGATGCTCCAGAGCACTGTAGTTATCATCCACTTCCTTGAAAAGTTGCCAATTCCTCTTTTCAGCCTTCTCCGCCTCAGCTCTTGCTTTGTTTCTCTCACTGGAAATCCGTTCCACTTGTGTTCTAGAAAGGCAGAATATGTGCTACTTACAACTCCTTCAAATTCCAGTAGTATTGATCCTGTAAAGGTATCACAGTTCTGAAGGCAAAACACGGAACCATGTCTTCTTTACAGCATAAACTTAATATATATCATCTATATATACAACCAGTGACACGTGAAGCTATTTACCTAAGGAGCTGTCTCATGTAGCTGCACTATGCATTTGTACATATACATGTGGGTCTTGATGCAAACAACAATTGGATGAAGAGGCCCTTTACAATGATGACTCTGAAATTTCTACACACATACCAAGGCCACTATTCCCAAAAGCCAAAGCAAAAACAACTTACCGTAGATGATGAAGTTCATGTTTATAAGAGGCAACAGCTGCCTGTTGAAGTCCATTTTTTGAAGCAATTAATTCATCATCAAGGACTACAGAGAGCTCTTTAAGGTTCACTTTCTCCTCCACGTTGCAATCAAGACTCTATAAAAAGACAAATACCTTCTCAAAATCAAGAAAAACTAAATCCTAGGAGTCAGTTGGCCCTTAAATTATTATTAACATAGCATTAGCATGTTGGCTTTGAATGAATATTAAAGGCTAATTGTCATTGGGCCATTTAGTTAAGGGATTGGACTAACAATTCAAGGCAGAATGGATGAACTACTTAGGAGCAGGAAAGTTATTAAACAAGACTAAACAAGACTAAAGTGCAAACTGTTAAAACTGGTATGTAGGAAAAACTTTGCAGATTTGCAGTTTGGAAAGGAAAATGTTAGACATAAAAGATAAACCTGTTAAAGATATAAGGATTATGATAAAGTGATGGCAAAGGAGTTAAACAAATGAGCTTGTGTGAACATGTGAACATGAGCAGAGAAAGAAAGAAAGGGATTACTAATTCTCAGGAATTTCTGGAGGTACCAAAATTAAATGACTTTCATACTAGCTTACGATGAATAAGATTCTGTCTTAATTCATATACAGATAGTCCTTGGTTAACAACCACTCATTCAGCAACTATTCAAACTTACAACAGTGCTGAACCAGTGGTATTTACGACCAGTCTTCAAAGTTCTGGCCATCCCAGCACCCCCAGTGGTCACATGATTGCAATCCGGGCACTAAGCAACTGGCTCAGATTTATGATGGTCGCAGTGTCCCACACTCTGTAGCACCTGCATGCTCACATCTGCAGGGCACTACAGCAGCCACCTGTGTGCCCTCCCGCAGCAGCCACTCCCAGCCCAGCCAAGCTCACAGAGTGCCATGGCAGCCACCTGTGTGCCCTCCCCCACCTGACAGCAGCCACTTCTGGCTTGGCCATGCTCGCACAGTGCTGTGTTGGCCACCAATGCACCCTCCCACGCCTGGCAGAACCCCCCCATCTGGCTGTGTTTGTGCCACGCCATAGCAGCCACTTACCTGCCTGCTGGCCTTTTTGCAAGCTGCTTGGCACTCGCGACTTCCTGCCAGCTTCCCCATTGACTTTGCTTGTTGGAAGCCAGCAGGAAGTCACAAGGAGATGCTTACTTAACGATCCTCACTTAATGACAGCAGTGGGGACTGTCAGGATTGCTGTCATTAAGTAATGCGGTCATGTGACATTGTGCTTTACAACTGCATTGCTTAGCAATAGAAATTCCAGTCCCAATTACTGTTGTTAAGTGAGGACTACTTGTAGTGATGCAGCAATTTTTCAACTGCAATTTTGCTAGTAATGGTGAGAAATGAAAATTGTTGTGCAAATGGAGAAGCAAAGGACCCTCTCAGGTTCAATAATCAGTCTGAGTGGCTTGCCCTCCCTTTCTTTCAATGTCCAGTCAATGAAAAAAAGCAGATACTCGTGGTCTTAATCATATTTCCATCCTTTTCTTGTTATCAATACTGTATATTAAATCCCTTGTTATGAAAACCAACATGCTAAGAATTCCCAGGGAAATCACCAAAGAACAGCTAGAGATACCTTAAAAATCTCTTTGCAGTTTTCAACTCCTTCCCAGGCCCAAATGGAGACAACTTGTTCCACACTTGCAAAACCACTGCCATCATCAATGCTAGAGAAAAGATTCAAAGCCACAGAGCCAGATAAAAAAGGTGGAGTTGCAGCTGGTTGTCCATTGTCTTTCAAAATCTGCATGATGTAAGAGTGAAACAGCAGAGAGGGAAAAGAAAAAGAATCAGTTTGGGTAAATGGGGAACAAACACTCAGGAAGGAATTTAAAAATAACACATGGTAGTTACTGCAGAAAATCCTAATCACGTTATCTAGCTGGAACATCTGGCTGACTTCGTCCAGGATGGGTAGCTTAGCAGGCCTGGGCCTGATAAATACTTGATTGGAGATAACCAGTGAATCCCAGGGTCATTGGCTAGCCCAATGTTTCTCAACCTTGGCAGCTTGAAGATGTGTGGACTTCAACTCCCAGAATTCCCCAGCCAGCATGGGTTGTTGAAGTCCACACATCTTCAAGCTGCCAAGGTTGAGAAACACTGGGCTACACTAAGAACTTGCCCCCCCCCCGATCATCCTGAAAGAAACCAATGGCAATTCTGTATTGTTGCCAATAAAGGTGTAGGGATGTCACCAGGAGTCAAGCCTCATTTGAAATACTTTTTTTTTATTTGTAGGAGAAACCCACTGGGACTCAGTAAGTACTGTTATCTTGTGTGTGTGTGTTTGTGTTTGTGTGTGTGTCTATGTTTTTTACATCAGCTTTGGAAATCTGGTTGTTCTTAAGCATAATGCACAATTTGGGTATATAGATTTGGGTGTTTAAGATTTCCTGAGCCAGTTGGATGTATTCAATCACATACTTGGGCAAAGGGCTAATGAGACCACCAAGAGGAGAAGAGATGAATAAATAAGCCATAGTACACTTGACAAGGTACAAAGCAGTCTCCGCATCTATCAGATATAGTAAGGTAAGAGAAAGTCCAATAATTTCATTATATTGATCAAAGCTTCCCTTGCAGGCCACTGGGCCCAAGCCACACACACTGGATTGCACCCAACACAAAGTATTTTTATGACCCTGTCATACGGTATGATTGATGCCACTTTCCTTTTCTCCAGGTTGATCCCTATTTCTGTATATACTTTTATTAGCAATAAAATCTCAAGCTCTGTCCTACCTCTAGGCACATACTTCTGAAAGTATGAAAAAACACCCCATTTATAGAATTCCCTCCCCAGAGAGACTCATATTTGAACTGGGATTAGTTTAAAATCAGAAAAAGATACTTTCCGTATTCTCCATATGTGAAAGACTCAACTCTTAGCAGTTTTTTCACACAGCATCTGGGTTCACATAACATTCTAAATCATTATCTGGCTTGATTTTGGCTTAGCATGATATCCAAATCCACCCATTATAATCTACTGTTACACATGAACCAGGCTACTACAGCTTGTTCCACAGACCATGGCTTGAAAATCCTCTCATAGCACTGTGTGTGAATACAACCAGTGGGAAACACAGGTTTTCTGCTAGATCTTGGCCCCTATGTCATAAAAATCACAACACTGGTCTGCGTGAAAGTGCAACAACTGGAAGCCTTTTGAACAACTTCAAACGTTTTCCTTTTGGAACCAAGAATTTTATAAAGAAAATATTGTTCATAATAATTACCTGGTTAGAGAGTGATCTTTGCCTTTTTGATTTAAGTGGCGTGGAAGAACAAGGACAAGGAATGCAGATGTGGCTGAAGAAGCCATACTGGAATTCCTTTAAGCTTACTCTGCCATCTCCATCACTATCCAACTTGTAAAATAATTCTTCAAGTTCCTATAAAAAACATAGGATTTTTAAAGTGCTGTATCACAAGTATTCATTTAATTTAAATAAATTAATTTTGGAATTGAACAGATTTACACAGCACATAAATCAGTATTCTACAAGGTTTGGTTAATTCAACAAGCAGGCTCTGGTTGTCATAACCAGGATAGAATCTAATAATGGTCTTCAATCAAGATTAAACACCTAACCATCACACTCTGTAGCAGCTTGGCTTAGCAGGATATTAGCATGGTAGTTAAAGGTGGACTCTTACCACCAAAGACTTCCAGCAGTTGGTCTGCTAGTTTGGAGTCTCATCTGAGAGAATACCTTTCTCTGCATAGAATAAAAAAGGGAAGATTCCTTGTTTTCTCCATTCACAGAGAAAGATATTGCCTTCCCTTAATTGAAGAAAGAAGTAAGTAGTGTACTCTCTCCTGTATGGAAGAAGGATTAGGAGGGAAGATCTTCACAGGGAAAGGCCATCCTTCTCCAAAGCCCCATCCCCTGACCTCAACTAACTTTCTGCTGAAATAGGGACAATCCAGACCAGGGTTTCTCAACCTTGGCAGCTTTCAGATGGGTAGACTTCAACTCCCAGAATTCCCCAGCCAGCAGGTTTGGCTGGAGAATTCTGGGAGTTG